CATACCGTAGAAAACTAACTCGCTAAAAAACGCTAGACAGAAAAAATAATTCAAACCATTTAAACTCTGCCCTGGGAGTTAGAAGGTCTTCATTTAGAAGAATTATGACGCTTCATGGTGAAAGCCGAGCTCCTTCGGAAGCCACGAGGCCGATGCCCCTTCTAACAACCAGAGCAAAAATTTCTATAGGTACATGGAACGTTCGAACAATGTGGGAAACCGGGAAGACCAGTCAAATAGCAACGGAAATGCGGAGATACAATATTGAAATACTGGGAATCAGCGGAACCAACGGGACTCAAACTGGACAGAAAAGGTTAGCTACGGGAGAGACGCTGCTATACTCCGGTTGTAAAATGTGATCGATAAACGAACCCACCAATAATAAAGGGAAACGCCCACCACCATATTATCTTCCTTTGACCTTGTACGACTGTATCTTTTTGTTAACCAATCACAGTTTAATGTTCATTGTAAAACAATATTTGCTTGTTGACTCATTTTTCCTATTCTCTGGCTACTGTTCGGTATGTTATTGTCTCTTTTTCCATGTATTAATAGACTGTACTGTTTCGTCTGCACACTAACGATGTTAATTTATGTTTTACAAACAGATAAAGTTTATCTAGCCAAATAGCTTGCTTGTTCTGACTTTGGCTAAACCAAGACTCTGTATTCGACAGTCTAGAGATTAACTTAGAGTTGAATCTGTAGGAAATTGCTCCCTACACCGGTCATGAAGAGGACAATGCTCCACACACTCAGGGAGTCGCTCTTATGCTTTCCAAAGTAGCACAAAATGCACTTGTTGGATGGGAATCTCACGGATCCAGAATCATCAAAGCATCGTTCAAAACAAAGTAGGGAATTTTAATGAATATTATCCAATATTATGCACCCCCCCCCCAATGATAGCAACGACGACATTAAAGATCAATTCTATGATAGGCTGCAGTCAATCATAGAGAAATGCCCAAGAAAGGACCTCATCATTCTAATAGGAGATCTAAATGCCAAAGTCGGAATAGACAACACCGGATATGAAGATATTATGGGACACTGCGACACTACGGAGTTCCTGAGAAGATTGTCAATATTATCTGGAACTCATACGACGGACTGCAACGCAAAGTCGTGCATGGAGGACAGCTGACAGATGCATTCCAAGTGAGGACCAGAGTCAGACAAGGCTGTTTACTCTCTCCCTTCCCCTTTCTTCTGGAGGTCGACTGGATTATGAGGACCTCGACATCTGAAGGAAAACACGGAATACAATGGACAGCTCAGAACCAATTAGACGATTTGGACTTCGCAGATGACCTAGACCTCTTATCGCATACACACGAACAGATGCAGACAAAGACAGCCAGTGTGGCAGCAATCTCTGCATCAATAGGCCTCAGCATACACAAAGGGAAAACCAAGGTCCTCAAATTCAAGGCGGAAAACAGCAATCCAATCACTCCTGATGGCGAAACTCTGGAAGATGTAGAATCCTTCACATATCTGGGAAGCATAATCGATGAACAAGGAGGTTCAGATGCAGATGTCAAGGCGAGGATTGAAAAAGCAATGACAGCATTCCTACAGTTGAAGAACATATGGAACTCAAAACAACTTTCAACCAATATCAAAGTGAGAAACTTTGATACGAATGTCAAGGCAGTTCTACTGTATGGAGCTGAAACTTGGAGAACTACAACACCCATCATGTAGAAGGTACAAGTATTTATAAATGGCTATCTACGCAAGATGCTCAACATCCATTGGCCGGATATCATCAGCAACAGCCTTTCGTGGGAGAGAACAAACCAACTTCCAGCTGAAGAGGAAATTAGGAAAAGACGATGGAAATGGATAGGACATACATTACGCAAATAATCAAACTGCATCACGAGATAAGCCCTAACTTGGAATTTTGAAGGGAAACGGAAAAGTGGAAGGCCTAAGAACACATTACGTTGGATAATAGCAGATATGAAAAGGATGAATAGGAACTGGAAGGAGCTGGAAAGGATTTCCCAGGACAGGGTTGGATGGAGAATGCTGGTGAGCGGCCTATGCTCCTTCACGAGGAGTAACAGGCGTTAGTAGTAGTAGTTACGAACTAGGAGCAAGCAATACCTGTGATGTCCTTGTTTCGCAACGACAGAAAAACAGAAATTGGAGGTCGGTTAGCCGTATACATATTATCTTGCTTGGAGGTACACCAAGTTCACAACCATGAGTTTAACAATCTTGATGAATCAGTATGGTGCTCTGTAAGATTGTCTACTACTTCGAGGTGTCTAGTCGGGGTCATCTGTAGGAAGCCCACTGCCAACATCGAGTACGATAGTCGTATGCTGGAAGGACTATCCCGTTCTACTCGTCTCGGTTTCACTCATATCCTGATTCTAAGGGACTTCAATGTCCCGAGAGTCAATTTCACAGAACGTACGTATATTTTAAATGAAAACTCAACTGAAGCTCGGTTCTTCAACCTAATTGAGGACTTGGGATTATACGAAAATGTGAATTCGGCAACTTGTTGGGGAAACAGTCAGATACCGTCGCTCTTAGACTAAGTATTTACAAACGAAAAATTCCTAGTTGACAACCTCTCAATCCTGGATTCCCTGGGGAAAACGATCACGCCGTTATAGCTTTGAGTTGCGTCAGCAAAACTGAGTTTAAATATCCCACCAACAGCAGGCGCTGGAATTTCAAACGGTTGAATGTATCAGCTCTATAGGACTATCTGCAACAGGTGGATTGGGATGTTCACCCTCAACTCGATGTGGACGCCCATTAGTACTTCTTACTGTACACGCTCTTATATGATACAAACCATTCAGTTCCTCAAACGGTCCTCCAAAAGCTACAAACAGCCTACAACCGTCAAGAACCGCACTCTTCACCTGCTAAGCCGCAAAAGACACTGTTAGGTAGAATACGGACGAACTGACAACAACGGCAATATAAACATATAAGGAACATATGCATGAAGGCTAAAAGAGAAGACGGGCTTCAGTACCAGATGAAGCTTTTCGATAAATTTGTCTCCGATCCGAAAGGCTTATTCCGTTATGCAGCCTCTCTTCGTCAAGCCAAAACTGGAGTTTCCCAACTGCTAGGTCTTACTGGCCCGACCAATAACGACGGCGACGTCACTAACGTTTTGGCTGAACGATACTCTCGGACATTTCAACCGATACACATCAACTATACTGATGACGGTTTCATCTGCAACTGCACAGGACTTTCCGTAGTGAACCTGAGCGCTTACTTGGTGTACCAGAAACTGCGGCACCAGAGAAAAGACACTTCTCCTGGCCCAGATATGGTTCATCCTGCTAAACTAAGGGAAGCAGCCTCAATCCTGGCAACCCCGCTTAGCGTGATGTTCTCACACTTGCTAAGCTAAGGCAAACTACCGGAAAATTGGAAGCTAGTTCACATCACACCAATTTTCAAAGGAAGTAAACCGACGGGTGACTCTTCTCTCAATACCTTCAAAAATCATCGAGTCCCTGATATGCGATGGTGTAAATGCTATTTATTGTCTTTAGATTTCTTCTCATCCCAACAGCAAGGTTTCAGGGAGGGTTATTCTTGTATAACCAATCTGCTGACTGAGGTGTACAGATGGGCAAGCATCCTCGATCGCAAAAGGAAGGTTGATATCACTTACTTTCATTTCTCAAAAGCTATTGATAGGGTTAACCATGTATTTCTTATCAATAAGTTCAAATCATTTGGTATCAAAGCACCTCTAAATGATTGGCTCACTTCATACCTGAAAAATCGACATTTTAAAGTCAAGTTAACTTCACTTTTTATCAGGCTATGGAATGTTCTAGTGGGATCCTCCAGAGCTCAGTACTTGGACCTCTTCTCTTCTTCATCTACATAGATGATCTTTCTCAACAGGTAACGTCAGACTTATTACTTTTTGCTGACGACGTGAAACTTTGAAGAGAGATACGCAACCAAGACGATATACAGGCACTTCAGGAGGATTTGACTCGAATGCAAAATTGGGCACATGGCAACGAACTTACCTTCAATACTTCAAAGTGTAAAGTAGTTCATCTGCGACATGTCGCAGATAGTTACAGTTACTACTTAAGAAACTCCTCTCTAGTAGTATCCATAGTCGAAAATGATTTAGGAGTACTGGTACCCTATGATTTCAAGTCTTACGCTAACTGTGACAAAAATGTCTTCCGAGCAAAACTTGCACTGGTAACATTGAAGCGCATTTTGGGCTAGTTTGATGGAAGAACTTTCCACATAACCTTCAACAGTTTTATTCTTCCCCATTTAGAATACGGAAACATAGTATTTCCTCCCTCACTCCTAAAGGATAAGGACACTCTGGAGCGTATCCATGAAATTAGTCCGGGATTTCAAATTCAAGCCTTATGAAGAACGCCCCCAAACACTTAACCTTTACCCATCAGAGTAAAAGCGTCTTAGAGTTGACATTCTGATGGCATACAGTATCCTTAACACTTCTGGACATCCCGTTAAACACCTACTCAAGCTTTGTCCCAATACAAACCTTAGGGGTAAAACGCAGAGATTGGAGATACAACACGGTATAATGAACTGTCGAGACAACTTCTACTCCTTAGGAGTTGTTAAATGCTGGAATCCGCTGCCGACTGAACTAGTCCGAGCGACTTCACAGGAGTCCTTTATGAGGAAACTTGACGTATTCTTAAAGGCCAAAGATAACATCTTATAATGAGTTAACAATTTTCTTTTTTTATAATCTATTATGGTTAATATACCTAGGTTCCTGCCTGAAGGTAATGGTGATCCCCTGCTACTATACACGGAATCCTGTTAAGCGAAAGCTTCTTCTGTTCCGTCCACAACCATTTGGACCACCTGAACTAATCTGAGTAAAGCCTAAGGATTTTTTGAAACTTCTGGAAAAACTGACAAGCATTATTTAATAATACGTTTCTGGTCCTTTGTACATGAGGCAAATTTTGAAGTATTGAGGAATGAATTAGAACGCCTTGACGGCAAATTTGACTTTGACCTTCATGGGAGTGTCCCCTTCTCCAAAAGATCCACAACACAAAAAACATAGAACCAAACACAAACATAAACACAAAATAAAAGACAATGTTAAAAAAGATGATGAGGAGTTTACGTGCCCCAAAATTCTTCCACGACAGTATAGCAATAAACGGCCTCTTACCCATGTCAAAATCAAGATAGAGCCTCGTGAATCCTGCAGCCCGCCTCATAAACGAAGACTAAATGATCCTGTAATATTGAAGCCCAGGTCTCCTCGAAGAAGCGGCAGAGTTAGTTCTCCGGTTGTCTTAAGGGACAGTGATGACATATCTGAATCCAAACCTAATCTCGGGAAAAGCGGATTATTAGACGGAAACTCCGGTCCGGTTGTTAAACAGAAAGCCAACTTTGAATTATCAGGTACATGTACTTGCTACATTTAGTATTTGGACTTATACTGTAGGGTGTACACTAACTTCCTATACAGAGATGTGATTTAAAAAATTTGACCACAGTTCTCGATAAATGGTAGCCAGATAAGTCACGTTATTAGCCTGATGCTTAATAGAGATTTTCTGGTAATTTAGTATGCAGGATAATCTGAAAGACTAACTGCATCACATTTAATCCCTTGGTAAATCCACTCATTTGTAAGATCAAACTACTGGTAATTTCTACTCAAAACATACAAACTTTGTATTTGTTTTTAGGTGGCTTCTCTTTACCTCATGACGAACCACTTATTTGAATATCCTTTTGTTGAGAGAATTTTTAGCTTTTGAAATCATGCAGTAATAATAGTTAAAAAAAGTTAGTTATGTAGAGGTGTCCATTAGTTAATTAGATTGTCTGACTATTAAGTAGTTCGGACCCACTTTCGTCACACATCTGTTAGCTGGATGTCTACCGGTGACTTTATTTGTCATGCTAGGACCAGGTCTCATTGCTTATTAAGATGATGAATAAATGATATGACACGTCATTGTATTATTTCAGCGAAGCAGTATGTGGAAGCATAATGCTCGAAATTGACCAAGAAACAGGTTGTAAATGTGTCTACACCAGTGGTGCTAGCGCTTTCTTAATTCCGTAAATTCTAAAGATACATATTTATACTGTCCTTGAGGTCGTTCGTAGACATTGCCAATAGTCCAGGAACTAATTGGATTTGCTTTGAAAACTCCCAGACACTTGAAATACTATCTGGGCCCACGTGATTTACTACCTAGCTTTCCTACACTGTTTTTCGACACCTACTCACAAAGCACAACATGGAGCTTACGACTAAATCCTTGATAAGCATTTAGATTCGTCAAAGGTGGTTCAAGCCATCAACTTCTGCAAACCCGTCAGATACTAGTTGGCTTCATATATTTGTAATAATACTGAATCGTAGGTAAATGGAATTTATTTGTTTATTTCCTGTGGTATAGTTGTAAGAATGTACAAACCACTTCTGAAAAACAATTGCATGCCATTTCAGTTAATCAAAAGTTTGCCATAAATACAAATATTGGAATTATTGCCTGGCATTCTAGTTAACAGAACTTTTTCCAGTCAAACTGGATCACTACTGGACGTACTTAGTAGTTTTACATTGGTTTCTGTTCACGTTTCATTTCGTCTTAAGTAATCAAGTCGTTTCCCTTTTTTCTATTTGAAAGGCAAACTTGCGGAGGATACAAATGTTTTTAAAGGTGTTGTGATAAAATACAATGAACCAGAAGATGCTAGAAAACCCACCACACATTGGAGATTGTATGCTTTCAAGGGGAATAAAACACTATCCGTACTGCATATACATAGACAAAGTGGATTCTTAATTGGCCGCGATCGAAAAATTGCAGACATTCCTATGGATCATCCAAGTATTTCGAAACAGCATGCTGTTTTGCAGTATAGACTTGTAAGTTAGAAGTTTAACACTAATGTTGGTGCATTTCTTGGTGCTGTGTTTTGCTAGATACTTCTGTCATGAACAATAAATTAAGCAGTAGTATTTATGTTTACTCGGTCAATATAATTTTCAGTAACCTTTTGAATTTTAATCAGAGTACTACGAATCGCCTTAATTTTCGGTAAAAGAAAATAGAACTTTCTTAAAGTCATAAAAGTACTTAACGACGGTACAAGTAAAATGTGAAGTCGAAGTTATTAGTAAGAACTACTACTTAGCACTTGCCGTCGATTGTTTCGCACTTGATTTGTTGTGCCTTATAGCTGATGCAGTTTATGAACATACTTATCTCCTTTTAATTCTAAAAGCATAAGCTTGTAGTTCATCTTAAAAAAATGGGACTTGGAGCTATAAACCAAAGTGAGAACATAAAATATAAGGAACTTTTCTTCTGTGCAATTGAATTTCGATATTTAGCTGTCCCAAAATACTGAAGTAAAACAAGTTAGCGGATTTCAGCTGTGGACCATAGAGTACGGGTTAGAAACTGTTTATAAGACCAGGTAGCAGTAGGTTTCATGTTTCGTTGTTGCACGTCAGTTATAAATAAATTTCAAAAAATCCTGACTTAGAATGCAGTTTTGTTATGTACGTCGTTTCTCTGCAGCTTTACGATAATGATAATAATGACAATAATCATAATATGATACTTCCAGTTGCAATGGAGTTTTTTTTTCGTCAGTTGGATTTTCCATTGCATATTTGTCTAATGCACGAATTTCGGTGTAGTCTCCTCCCATTTATCCAACAGACAAGTAAAAAGATGGACCAACCACTGGTTCTGCCAGGAGTTTTTAGTATTTGATTAGCATTTAGTGGCAAGCATTTTCAAAAGTAATTGAGTACTTTGTGGTCAGCGCACGCAAACAGTAAAGCAAGAAACCCAGAATTATAAGCTACCAGTTGTTATTTCTCTGCATCTTACTGTACATTTATTCTTCCATTCAGGTTCGTGGCCTGATCCGCTTGTATATCATCGATTTGGAGTCAGCAAACGGTACTTATTTGAACAATAACAGAATAGAATCTCGTCGTTACTATGAGCTCCTTGAAAAAGATGTAATCAAGTTTGGTTTCTCAACACGTGAATATGTTGTTATGACATCAGAAACTGACATGGATGATTCATCTTGATTATATTTTCTGTACAGTGTTTGTAAATATATGTTTATAATTATTGAGTGGTAATATTTTCCAGAATTAAACTTGGTCATATCAATTGCATTGTACCTAATCTAATGTTATAATCAGAGTGAATGATGGCCGAAAATGATATTTCCGTTTTTATTGGGTAAGTATTTAGCGTAAAACACAGTCGTAAAGTCTATACACTTCTACCTCTTCAGTAGATATAATGAACTGTGCTAAACCGGTAGATAAACGCAATATTGTTCTATTCTGTACGAAATCGCTTTTGTTGAGCTGATTAATACGATAACGTGGACGGATGTGTACTGATAGTACACAAATCAACAGTGAATATGCCTCTCTTCAGAACTTTATATCTCAATGAGCCGTGGAATATTGAAAGACAATGTTCTGACTGTGAAAAATGAGTATTTAGCAGAAATGTCACACTACATGTACATTTTTGTGCAACCTAACATTACGGTGGAAAAAGTGATTTAGTGATATGTCCCGATTGGCTTAACAAAAGCCTAAATTGTTCAATATGGTTATTCTAACCGATTCGCAGCATACATCAAAACTTCCCTATCTCACAGATTGATAACTGTAAGTGTTAATTTTGAAGAATGACAATCTATTTAAGAATACGATTTTGTAAAACTCAGTCAGAAGTTGCTAAAAACCATCGTTCTTGTAGCCATTTACTCAGAATACATAAACCATTTATGACTCAAATTTTCGTTCTACGACATGCTTTATCCCAGCACCGAGAAATCCTATGAGTAATGTCTATATAACTTTTACTATATAGTCTGAAGTTAAGTACATAGACCTATTGCTGTTACACTAAAAAATCTAAACACTTATCAGTCAGTTATACTTATTGACCATATAAGATATATAAGTGAACCACCTTTCTTTATGCAGTTAATCATTGCCTATAACGTTGAATCTATGGTTGACGATTTTTCAGAACCTTAGCTAATCTTTAGTGATCACCAAGTCACTATTCAGTTCGATGAAAATCCAAACTAACATCACCCCGATAGCTATTAAGTAGACAGCTATTCTTTCATAGCTTGGGGTTCTACAGTAGGTTGATTTTTTACTTTAAAGAGATTAGTAGGAGTAAAAACATCAAATCCAAGTAGAACAGCCACTCTTCTGTTAATAACTTGGGACTCTTCATGAGTCCGTATCATCAATTCTTTATACCAGTGATTCTACGGTTGTCTGGATTATTATGTTGCTGTTGATTGAATGATTAACACTTCTCAACTTCATAATTATAACACAAACATTTTACTTAATGCCAATAGTTCGCATTCGCTCTTGATTTACATAAGACGTTTTTCCAACAAGGATTCCAGGTAATTTATTCTAAACTAAAGAGACAAGGATTTAAACGCTTATTTTCACTACTAACTCCACACGATTGGTAAGTGGACAGTTATTTGATTCCTGGAAGCCCTTTTTGTCTTCACATTTAGTTATAAACAAAAATATAAAATCAACTGATTCAATATCCGTAAATTTTTTGCATAACAACTCAAAACACTCAACATAGAATTAGTTTTAAAGGAAGTACATCAATAATCTTATTTAAGTGTACATACATGCGCGTAAGACTAAAACAAAATAAAATTGGAATACCGGGATAGGTAATAACACTACAATATCTCACATTTGTATATGCATATGAATGTTTACAATTGGTAGGAGTAGTCTTTTGTTGACAACAAATAGAACTAGACAGTACCCCTAATTTAACCAGCGTCACATTAACCTTTAAAAATTACATTGAAAGCTAACAACTAGGGATCAATATAATAGGGAAAAAGGTTAGCACGAAAAATAAAAGTCGCAGATGCAAAAAATTACAATAAAATTATATATTGAGCCAAGTGTTACATATATAAATATTATGTGTACACCCTTAAAAGTAGAATAAATGAAGAAAAAAACAATCCGTGAGAGGAAAGACCAAAAAACATGTATAGTAAAGAAAGAAGAGATTGAAATCCGGTTAAACGATAAAATAAAGTATCAGTGATGCATTTACACTTCGAAACGGAGTATTAAGATCTGGTATTATAGGAGTACATATGACACACAGATCTGTTGATTAATTATTATTAATATTATTACTAATAAGGATATCAGAAAACGCCAACCATACGCAAAGAATTTCACACTATAGAAATAAAAGTATTTCGAGAGATCAAAACGAATACGTAGTGTCTACTCGTATTTTTTTTATTTAAAAAAAATTTTAAAAATTAACAGTGTATAAAACACATTGTTGCTAAAATCACTGTGTTTTCATCAATGTAAAAGTTAGGTATTACCAAATTTAAGAATGAAAATCAATTCAAAGGAAATAATTTTATTGAGAGAAAAACTGGCAGAATAATGAAGAATTTGATGGAAATCTTAAAGAAGGAAGGAAGCACTGTGTTGTTGACATATATTTATACTTATATATTTTAATTAGGCATACAATATTCCAAAGGATAAAAACAGGATAATTCATCATCAGATTATAGGGTTATTGAAGCAATTATATTTTTATCATATTTGTTGTACAAATCACCTCGAATAATAAACTGATAAGTAATAAATGCTGAGCATAATCAATCAATTAAACAAGGATTAAGTAAAAACAACAGCAAAATTAAATTCTTTTAGGTTTAGGAGCTAATTTTGGAGCAAAGTTTATGGAAGAACCAGATGAATCAGATTTAGTTGCTTCGAAAGCTGCTACTCGAGCAGCGATTGAAAGTTTCGGTTCACTAGTCGGTTGTTCATCGGCATTCCGTGGTATTTCATGTTTTTTTTCTTCAGAACTTGCTCTATTCAAGCGGGGTAAGCTTCTAGGAACTTCTGCCGATTGAACTGTATGATTAGATCTACTTCGTAGAATAACTTTGCCAAGTTCTCCATAGCTTGAGTTACCACCGTCACTGGCGGGACATTGGCTTGAAGTTACTGACGATGGTGGTGACGATTGGGTTTCAGAGCGCTTTCGCATTGTATTTAAAGTTTGTTCGGCGAAATGTTCAGCAAAACTGTCAGCCGACTCTTCATGAGTGCAACTGGGAGATGGTGTACATTTTTGCACCTTAGAATCTGTTGAAATGGGAAGATCCATGACTAAATCTGGAGCATGTTTCGCGCTAGGTAAGCAAAGCTTACGAGTCAGTTCTTGGTTGCGTTCAAGCGTTCTAGAATCACTATTGCGGTTATCTGCTTGTTCCAAAGAAGCTAAACCACGCATAACCTTGATCAAAGATAAGTTGAGGTGTTAAGAAATGATAATTTGATCACAACCAACCTTGAAATTATTACTATTATTAATCAATGCCTAAGAAAATTGCATCTACGAAAGTACTTTTGGAACAATTAAACACTCATAAATCCTGACAGTCACGTTAATTATTTAAAAAATGATAAAATTAAATATGCTTAATGCTTTATCAAGTTTCTTAAAAAGAGTACGTGAAAAAAGTGGTGTTCTAACTACGGTCCTACGTATAAAGCTTTGTTTTATCACCTTGCTACTGCGTGATTTTTAAATCCAAAGCAAACGAATACACGTTTTACGAAACATAAGCCCTAGTACTTCATATAAAACTGTGATCGTTGTGTTACTTGATCTTAAAACTGATAAGTGAATTTCACAGTGCATATACGATGCATATATAATGGTTGAATAGTGTTTTTATGACGTAAAAAGAACCTAATAAGTATTAGTTCATTTTAAACAACTCAATTTGTACACATTAAATAGTAACGAAAAATCTCAGCAGTAAAACATCATCATAGTAAGTGGATATTTAGGACAATAGGGTGAGATGTTGTCGATTCCATGCATAAGGTTAATATGAAACTGAAAAGAGAAATCTGAAGACCTAAATAAATTAAACTTAACATTACTAACTACTTGAATGAGCTTTAAGTAGCACCAAAGATAATACAAATTTTTAAAAACCAATCGCAGTCATCAATCCTCGTGCAATTAAATTAATAATTCTGAATACTTAAAGTTGGTCGATCGCCTGTAAAATTCAAGACACCAACTTTTATATGATTAGCCTCATATAGGAGTCAGTCAATAATGTATCCTATCAAACCATACCCTGTGACAGATGCTGAATTTGAGCCAGTTGAAATACTGTAAGAACTGTGCCAAGCGATTGAAAGTGCTTTACAGTTTTGGAAGTTGTAATATTTCAAAAATGGGTGTCGGTGTATAATATGGGAAATACATGTTCGCGGACTTAAATGCCTGGCATCAAAGTTATAGGTACGTAGAAAATCCGAAATTGGGTTAACATCGATCTAATCAACTGACCCAGACAATTAAAATGAATGAATCCCACCAGGTTATCATAAGCATCGAACTAATAACCCTGTAATTTTTACCGACAAGTATTAGGATTTTATAGTCATAGACAGAAATAGCAAATCAATATGTCACACCCCTTCTGAATGGCACTGTATCAATATTAATCACAACAGTCTGGTCAACTCATTTTAGTAAAAAGAATCTAGGACTATTTGGAGAAGACAGAGGTGACAAAATTTATAAAACGGTTTCTCGGTATGTATGATGAGTGAAGTAAGTTGATATTAACAAATCCCAAGTTGAATAAAAATATTGTAAAATAAGGTTATGAACATTTATATTTTATGATAACAGAAAATTTAGTGCTTCAAGAGGTCACGACGAACGAGATTCCAAAGTTAAAAAAACTCCGTAGAGATAAAAATGTTTTCAAACTCAGTATTACACAAGTCATTACTGTTGTTTGAAACATCAATAAACTCATTTCCTTAGTGTGAAGGCCAGATATACTACTTGGTCTCCCTATTTGAAGTAGGTCAAACGGAGTTAGAAAATGCAACCAACTTAGTTGTAAGGTTTACCTACTAGGTCACTGCTGGACAACGAACTTCAGTGGTTGATAACCACAACTAAATAATTATAGTTGAATATTTAAACATTCAACTCACTAGAAAACCAGGTGGA